TCAAGAACGTCCGGGATGGCCTCAGAAGACTCTCCCAGACCCATGAACCGTTTGGGTTGCCGGACAACCCTCCCACTATGACAAGGTACTACCTGCTCAAGTGCATCATCAGCGATACGTGTTGCAGTACTTTGTGGTGTAACATCTAGCGCACTCGGTATTGAAGTACTCACTCCCTTTAATTCTTCATGAACATGTCTACTACTGGGCTTATGATCTAAGACATAGTATTCTTCCAAGAACCTAGCATTCGTGCTAACGATTACTTCCTGGTCCTCGGGACTATAAAATAGACCACCTTTCGCTTCCTTAAAATATCCCACAAACAGCCTTACTTCTGATCTCGGTTCCAACTTATCAGTATCGGTTCTCAGCACATGTGCTGGGCTACCCCAAATCCTGAGATGTCTTAGACTAGACTTATGCCCAGACCACAACTCCAATGGTGTAGACGGTACTGATTTAGAAGGTACTCTATTCAGAATGTATACCGCTGTTTCTAAGGCATATCTTCAAAACGAATCTGGTAATGTACTATAACTCATCATTGCCCTAACCATTTCCATAAGAGTCTTGTTCCTCCGTTCTGCTACGCCATTCTGCTGAGGCGTGCCAGGCGCAGTCAGCTGGGACGTAATCCCATTATCCGTCAAGTAGCTCCTAAATTCATTCGAGAGATATTCGCCACCACGATCTAATCGTAATGACTTGATACTTTTTCCTAACTGCTTCTCCACAACTACCTTATACTCCATGAACTTCTCAAAGCATTCAGACTTGCAGTGCAGAAGGAAAATGTGTCCATATCTCGAGTAATCATCGATAAACGTAACGAAGTACTCGAAACCACCTCTCGCTTGAATACTCATAGGACCACATAGATCGGAATGAACTAGCCCTAACACATCTTCGGCTCTATGCCCCTTTGAACTAAAATCCCTCTTAGTCATTTTACCTTCCAGGCAAGACTCACAAGTTGGAAAAGCCTCAACTTCTAATGACCCCAAGGGCATGTCTGCTACCAACCTTTGAATCCTACTAAGGTTAATATGACCAAGTCTTAGATGCCAAAGATATGTTTCGTTCATTTTTGAAGGTTCCTTTCTCTTATTCAGATTAGATGATGAATTAAGTAATTGTTTCTGTTGCAGTGGAGATGACTTAGATTCTAGAATGTACAGATTGTCAACTAATGAACCAGAGCATATGAACTTTTTGCCAAAATGAATAACAACTTTATTATCAAACGTAGCGGAAAAACCGTTCATAAACAACTTAGAAACTTAAATCAAATTCTTTTTAAAACTGGGAACATAAAGACAATCTTTCAAAACTAGAAACCTATCTAAGCCAAAATCTAAATAGACGTCTCCCACTGCAACTGCTGACGCTCTACTAGCATCGCCCAAGTAGATGGTAACCTCTCCTTCCCTAAGTCGCTTGGTTTCCTGGAACCCCTACAATGAATTGCAGACATGATCAGTGGCCCCCGTATCTACACACCAGGTACTTGGGAAGAGGGCAGTTTGCCTTCCAGTGTCCTTTCTGCTGATAGTTGTAGCACTTACCTTTCGGCTTCCTTGCCTTTTGTCGAGGTTGCGCGTCACTCATGACCGCTTTGCCCTTTCCTGTGGACTTCTTCCTCTTCTTGCCCTTAGGAGCCTTAGAAGTGGAAGCTTCTCCCCGCTGGGCCACCATGGCTTGGGTCTTCTGACGAAACAGGCCCTCTGCCGCCTGAAGCTCAGCAACAAGTTCCGGAAGAGTCATCAACACCTTATTCATGTTGTAATTCAACCGGAATTTCTTGAAGCTCTTCGGCAAAGACTGGAGCACTATATCGACTTGGGTTTCCCCATAAATAAAAGCCCCAAGAACCTCCAGCTCATTCAGCTGGGCCATCATAGCAAGAACATGTTCCCTTACGGGAGTGCCCTCGCGCATGGTCATGTTCATCAGAACCCTCATGGCTTCTTGTCGGGCAGCCCGTGACTGATGACCAAATAACTCCTTGAGATTAAGAAGCATCTCTGCTGCAGTGTTCATAGACTGATGTTGATGTTGAAGTACATTCGAAAAATATGCCAAGATGTAACACTTCGCCATCTCGTCAGCCTTTTTCCACCGAGCATACTCCTCTTTCTCTTGGTCTGGTGCATTGTCAGCAGGCAGCCGGACAAGCCTCAACAGTAGCAAATTTGTACCCTTCAGCAGTTAACACAATATCCAAGTTCCTTTTTCAGTCAATATAATTGGGACCAACAAGTTTGTTTTCTTTGAGAATTACGGACAACGGATTGAAAGACATTTTGAATTCCTAGGATCATGTAAACATAGTCTTTACTCAGTCAAGTAGTTTTGAATTTATACATCAAATATTGATCCCATTAAACAACATTTTAATAAATTCACCAACAACTCAAAACACCGAATCCCCGTAGGCCACGGAGTGTGGACGTCTACGGTTCAAACAT